ATAATAATAATATTTTTTTTTTTTTTTTTTTTTTAAGTATAAAAATGCGCTGCAATTTTTCAATAAAATAAACTGCTGTTCCAATTGCGTCCACTGGATGGCGCAATAGCAATTGTGTTAAGCAAGCAAACTGTTTATACCGGGGCAGAGCAAGTAGGTCAAGCACGTGCAGCCAATGAGCTACTTTGTTTTGCCCGCAATATTTATTACGGCTTCTACTTTTAACATTATGTGCTTTGGCACCCTCATTGCCCCAATATGTCTCTGTCAAAAAAGAGAAAAGTGGACGCAGAGTGCAGAGTGTTCCAAGAAAAATGGTCATCCTATTTAATCACGGAATTGAATGGGAAAGCTGTATGTTTGGTGTGTTCAGAGCATGTTGCAGCGCTGAAAGAATATAACCTTCGTCGCCACTATGTGAGTCTTCATGCCGACAAATATGACAACTTTCAAGGACAGCGGAGATGAGAGAAGGTGAATGAACTGTTGGCGGGTCTGAAGAAACAGCAGTCTGTGTTTACTCACAGCCGAGACATCAGTGACGCTGCAGTGAAAGCTAGCTACCTCATTGCTAATGAAATCGCAGTGGCTTCAAAACCATTTAGTGAGGGTGAATTTGTAAAAACATGCATGATGAAGGCAGCGGAGATTGTGTGCCCTGAAAAGCGGCAGGCTTTTGCAAATATCAGCCTGACAAGAAACACAGTTGCAGACAGGATTTCCGATCTTTCAGTGGATTTGGACAGCCAGTTGAAGCAAAAAGTAAAGTCATTTATTGCGTTTTCGGTTGCAATTGATGAAAGCACGGACATTACAGATGTTGCACAACTGGCCATTTTTTCATCCGCGGAGTTGATGACACATTGACCGTCACCGAGGAGTTTGTGGAGTTGGTGCCGATGACAACGACAGCAGCTGATATTTTTACCGCACTCGTCGGCGCGCTGGACAGGGTCGGAGTGGACTGGTCCCGCGCTGTCAGCCTGGCTACAGATGGTGCGCCCTCAATGATCGGGAAAAAAAGCAGGCGTTGTGACAAAGTTCAGAGAGAAAGTGCAATCTGCAAATGGAGGACGTGATTTTTTGACTTTTCACTGTATTTTGCACCAGGAGGCTTTGTGTTGCAAGTCATTAAAGATGGATAACGTCATGAAGGTGGTCATCCAAACTGTTAATTTCATCCGATCCAGAAGCCTGAATCACCGTCAGTTTGACAGCCTTCTCAGAGAGAAAGACCACATCTATGGCCTGCCATACCACACTGAGGTAAGATGGTTAAGCCGAGGTGCTGTGCTGAGGCGTTTCTTTGATTTACGAGAAGAAATTGAACAGTTCATGGAAGAAAAGGGCAAACCAGTGTTAGAATTTCATTCCGCAGAATGGATGCCGGACCTTGCATTTATGGTGGATGTTACAGAGCACCTGAATAACTTGAACAAACAGCTGCAAGGGCGCAACAAAGTTGTCACGCAGTATTATGACAGCATACGTTCTTTCAAGTTGAAGCTGTCATTGTGGGAGACGCAACTTGCCAGTGGTGATGCAGCTCACTTCCCCTGTCTGAAAAATGTGTGCGCGACCCAACATGTGGCAGACATGAAGCGGTTCAAAGATAAAATAACTGGACTGTTACGGGAGTTTGAGCAACGCTTTCAGATTTATGTTTCTATGTTTTTATGTTGATGTGCTATTGTTTTTAATTGATTTTATTTTATTTGTATATTTAACCTATTCTTGACTCTGTGGTTCTTGCACTAGTTTGGGGAACAGGATTTCATTATTTTTATCTACATTTCTGCCTGAGAAATGACACCCTGATATAGTTCTGTGATCTGTGAAACAGTTCTGTTAATCACTGAGGCATTGTGTGTTTGTGTGTTCTTTTTCTTTAGAATTTTCAAATAAACTTGACGTGTTTTATGATTAATAGTGATGTTGTGCTTGTACTATTTTGGACACACTGTCCCCTGGACACACTGGCTCCAGCTTTATGTTGTATGTTGATCGTATTAAAACAAAGAAAACAATCTGAAGTTGTTGTTTTTAAGTTATATATACCAATATTTTTCCGGTCCGGCCCACTTGGGAATAGATTTTCCTCCATGTGGCCCCTGAGCTAAAATGAGTTTGACACCCCTGATATAGAGAATGTCTACTGCAGAATCTTATTCCATTATCTCTGTCTGTCTGTCTGTCTGTCTGTCTGTCTGTCTGTCTGTCTGTCTGTCTGTCTGTCTGTCTGTCTGTCTGTCTGTCTGTCTGTCTGTCTGTCTGTCTGTCTGTCTGTCTGTCTGTCTGTCTGTCTGTCTGTCTGTCTGTCTGTCTGTCTGTCTGTCTGTCTGTCTGTCTGTCTGTCTGTCTGTCTGTCTGTCTGTCTGTCTGTCTGTCTGTCTGTCTGTCTGTCTGTCTGTCTGTCTGTCTGTCTGTCTGTCTGTCTGTCTGTCTGTCTGTCTGTCTGTCTGTCTGTCTGTCTGTCTGTCTGTCTGTCTCTCTCTCTCTCTCTCTCTCTCTCTCTCTCAGGCCCAGGGTGTGTTGAAGGACATCAGTGTAGAGTTGTTGCGTCACCTGGACAGGGGGACAGCCTTCATCCAGGTCAGCACCAAGGTCAACACCAGAGGAGAAATACGCGGACAGGTGAGTAGGACCACAGCCGTAACACAATCCCTCCACAACCATAACTCAACCACTTAACAACCGTTACTCAACCACTGTAAAACCATAACACAGTGCAAATCTCAAACTCAACCATACCTCAATCTTAATCTCAACCCACACTCTTCAGTTGGATCATGGAATATATTGAGGATTATAGAGATGGAGCGATGACAGGTGGAGGAGAGGAGGGCGGGAGGTGAGGCTCATCAGGGCCCTAGTCAGCTGAGTGTTTATGTGTGTGTGTGTTTGCTCACTTAGCCAGTGTGAGGCCACACAGACACACACTCTCACTGGCTGGTGGTTTTGTGTTTTCAGAGACGTTTTGTTGAAAAGTAAACGTTTGTGAGGACACACACACACCCTCACACAAACACACACAAACACATCGTTACAAGCTAACATATTTGCAGGCGGCCTGGTTGATGATTTCGTCTTAGTTGCCAGGGGTTAGAAAGGGAGAAAGAAACGTGTAAGAACACACACACACACACACACACACAGTAAGGTCTGACAGTTTTAATAGCAAACAGGTCTGACACATAAACAGCCATCTGCCGTGGAGCCGTAGAGCCATTGGCGGAAAGCTGGCTGAACGCTCCATTTAGGACTAATTAACAAGTAAAAGTATGCTTTACAACAAGCCACAAGGCAGGTGTGTCCAACAAATCATTGGAATCCTAACCACTGTCAAATCAAATCAAATCAAATGTTATTGGTCACATGTGCCGAATACAACAGGTGCAGACATTACAGTGAAATGCTTACCTACAGCCCTTAACCAACAGTGCATTTATTTTTAACAAAAAAAAAGTAAAAATAAAACAACAACAAAAAAAGTGTTGAGAGAAAAAAGAGCAGAAGTAAAATAAAGTGACAGTAGGGAGGCTATATATACAGGGGGGTACCGTTGCAGAGTCAATGTGCGGGGGCACCGGCTAGTTGAGGTAGTTGAGGTAATATGTACATGTGGGTAGAGTTAAAGTGACTATTCATAAATAATTAACAGAGTAGCAGCAGCGTAAAAAGGATGGGGTGGGGGGGCAGTGCAAATTGTCTGGGTAGCCATGATTAGCTATTCAGGAGTCTTATGGCTTGGGGGTAGAAGCTGTTGAGAAGTCTTTTGGACCTAGACTTGGCACTCCGGTACTGCTTGCCGTGCGGTAGCAGAGAGAACAGTCTATGACTAGGGTGGCTGGAGTCTTTGACAATTTTGAGGGCCTTCCTCTGACACCGCCTGGTATAGAGGTCCTGGATGGCAGGAAGCTTGGCCCCAGTGATGTACTGGGCCGTACGCACTACCCTCTGTAGTGCCTTGCGGTCGGAGGCCAAGCAGTTGCCATACCAGGCGGTGATGCAACCAGTCAGGATGCTCTCGATGGTGCAGCTGTAGACTTTTTTGAGGATCTGAGGACCCATGCCAAATCTTTTCAGTCTCCTGAGGGGGAATAGGCTTTGTCGTGCCCTCTTCACGACTGTCTTGGTGTGTTTGGACCATGATAGTTCGTTGGTGATGTGGACACCAAGGAACTTGAAGCTCTCAAACTGTTCCACTACAGCCCTGTCGATGAGAATGGGGGCGTGCTCAGTCCTCTTTTTTTTCCTGTAGTCCACAATCATCTCCTTTGTCTTGGTTACGTTGAGGGAGAGGTTGTTGTCCTGGCACCACACGGCCAGGTCTCTGACCTCCTCCCTATAGGCTGTCTCATCGTTGTCAGTGATCAGGCCTACCACTGTTGTGTCGTCGGCAAACTTAATGATGGTGTTGGAGTCGTGCCTGGCCATGCAGTCATGGGTGAACAGAGAGTACAGGAGGGGACTGAGCACGCACCCCTGAGGGGCCCCCGTGTTGAGGATCAGTGTGGCAGATGTGTTGTTACCTACCCTTACCACCTGGGGGCGGCCTGTCAGGAAGTCCAGGATCCAGTTGCAGAGGGAGGTGTTTAGTCCCAGGATCCTTAGCTTAGTGATGAGCTTAGAGGGCACTATGGTGTTGAATGCTGAGCTGTAGTCAATGAATAGCATTCTCACGTAGGTGTTCCTGTTGTCCAGGTGGGAAAGGGCAGTGTGGAGTGCAATAGAGATTGCATCATCTGTGGATCTGTTGGGGCGGTATGCAAATTGGAGTGGGTCTAGGGTTTCTGGGATAATGCTGTTGATGTGAGCCATGACCAGCCTTTCAAAGCACTTCATGACTACAGACGTCAGTGCTACGGGTCGGTAGTCATTTAGGCAGGTTATCTTAGAGTCCTTGGGCACGGGGACTATGGTGGTCTGCTTGAAACATGTTGGTATTACAGAACGGGTTAGAGTCCCGTTCCTTGAAAGCGGCAGCTCTACCCTTTAGCTCAGTGCGGATGTTTCCTGTAATCTATGGCTTCTGGTTGGGGTATGTACGTACGGTCACTGTGGGGACGACATCATCGATGCACTTATTGATGAAGCCAGTGACTGATGTGGTGTACTCCTCAATGCTGTCTGAAGAATCCCGGAACATGTTCCAGTCTGTGCTAGCAAAACAGTCCTGTAGCTTAGCATCTGCGTCATCTGACCACTTTTTTATTAACCGAGTCACTGGTGCTTCCTGCTTTAGTTTTTGCTTATAAGCAGGAATCAGGAGGATAGAGTTATGGTCAGATTTGCCAAATGGAGGGTGAGGGAGAGCTTTGTATGCGTCTCTGTGTGTGGAGTAAAGGTGGTCTAGAGTTTTTTTTCCTCTGGTTGCACATTTAACATGCTGGTAGAAATTAGGTACAACGGATTTAAGTTTCCCTGCATTAAAGTCCCCGGCCACTAGGAGCGCTGCATCTGGATGAGCGTTTTCCTGTTGATTTATGGCCTTGTACAACTAATTCAGTGCAATCTTAATGCCAGCATTGGTTTGTGGTGGTAAATAGACAGCTATGAAAAATATAGATGAAAACTCTCTTGGTAAATAGTGTGGTCTACAGCTTATCATAAGATACTCTACCTCAGGCGAGCAAAACCTCGAGACTTCCTTAGTATTTGATTTTGTGCACCAGCTGTTGTTTACAAATATACACAGACCGCCACCCCTTGTCTTACCGGAGTCAGCCGTTCTATCCTGCCGATGTAGCGTATAGCCCGCTAGCTGTATGAAATCCATGTTGTCGTTCAGCCACGACTCGGTGAAACATAAGATATTACAGTTTTTAATGTCCCGTTGGTAGGATAACCGTAATCTTAAGTCATCCAATTTATTTTCAAATGATTGAACGTTGGCTAATAGGATTGATGGAAGAGGCAGTTTACTCGCTCGCCGTCGGATCCTTACAAGGCACCCCGAACTACGTCCACGATATCTCCGTCTCTTCCTCACGCGAATGACGGGGATTTTGGCCTTGTCGGGTGTCTGTATGATATCCTTCGCGGCCGCCTCGTTGAAGAAAAAATCTTCGTCCAATACGAGGTGAGTAATCGCTGTCCTGATATCCAGAAGCTATTTTTGGTTATAAGAGACGATGGCAGAAACATTATGTACAAAATAAATTACAAATAACGCGGAAAAACACACATAATAGTACAATTGGTTAGAGGGCTGTAAAACGGCAGCCATCTTCTCCGGCGCTGTTGCTGACTCTGTTGCTGACACTGTCTTCACTCCTCTCTCCCTCCTTCCTCCTCCTTGCTCTCTTTCTCTCTGTCCCTCCTCTTATTCTCCCTTTCTCATGCTCACCCCTTTTCTGCCTCTCTCTCTCTCTCTCTCTCTCTCTCTCTCTCTCTCTCTCTCTCCTCTCTCTCTCTCTCTCTCTCTCTCTCTCTCTCTCTCTCGCTCATGCTCGCCCCCTCTTTCTTTCTCTCTCTGTCACCACCCCCCTCCCTTCTTCTCTCCCTCCATCTTTCTTTCTCTCCCTACAGGTCCATGTGCCTAATAACTGTGAGTTTGGGACAAGAGGTGAGGTGGAGGTGGCGGAGTTTGATGACCTGTTTGTGCGTGACCCTGAGGAACTAAAGAAAGACCCCCACACATGTTTCTTCGAGAGTCAACACCACGCCCACGGCTCCCTCTGGACCCCCAACTACAACAACTGTTTCACCTGCAGCTGTCAGGTAGGACTGTTCCAACTAAAACCACTAGGGCGGCACTATAGCTACGCATTAAATTAGTGCTGGTTTCCAAGACACAGATTATGTCTAGTCCTGGAATAAGAAGCCCTTTCGATGGAGAATCTAGAAGTCTTGAGAATCTAGAAGTAAAGTTTCTACTTCTATATTGAGTGACTTTGTGTCTAACCACCCTCTCTCTTCTTCTGTCCATTTTACTCCTCCCTCATCCCTCCATCTCTCTGTCCTCCCTGTAGAAGCGCACAGTGATCTGTGACCCGGTCATCTGTCCAGTCCTCACCTGCTCTCGCACCATCCAGCCTGAGGACAAGTGCTGCCCCATGTGTGTTGGTGAGTGAATGTGTGTATGTGTGTGTATGTGTGTGTGTATGTGTGTGTGTGTATGTGTGTGTGTGTGTATGAGTGTGTGTTCCTATGTTTGAATAGGATTGTGTGCTTGAGTGTGTTTTCCTTATTCTTGAGAGGACTTATTCTTGACAGTGCAAACCATTACGGTCGTAAATTGTGAAATAATACTTTCCTTTGTCTGTTCCCCCTGTCTGTCCTTTAGAGAGGAAAAACCCCAAGGACATGAAAGCTCCAGAGAGGCTAGACGAGCATCCAGAAGGTACTGTACCATCTCTCTCTCTGTCTGACTGTCACTCTGAACATACAGAAGGTACTGTACCATCTCTCTCTGTCTGACTGTCACTCTGAACATACAGAAGGTACTGTACCATCTCTCTCTCTGTCTGACTGTCACTCTGAGCACCCAGAAGGTACTGTACCATCTCTCTCTCTGTCTGACTGTCACTCTGAACATCCAGAAGGTACTGTACCCTCTCTCTCTCTCTCTCTCTCCTCTGTCTGACTGTCACGATGAAACCATCCAGAAGGTACTGTATCCCCTCGGTCGGACTGTCACTCGAACATCCAGAAGTGTACTGTACCCCTCTCTCTGTGTTGTCTGACTACTCTCTGAACACCCAAAAGGTCTGTACCATCTCCCTTTTTTTTCTGACTGTCACTCTACACCAAAGGGTTGCCCATCTCTCTCTCTGTCTACTTCCCTCTGAACATCCGAAGGACGTCCCATCTCCCCTTTTGTCTGAGTCACTCTGACCCCAAAGGTACTTTACCACTCTCTCTCTGTCTGACTGTCACCTGAAATCCAGAAGTAGTCCACTCTCCTGTCTGCTTCCTCGACCCCCAAGTTCTTTACCATCTCTCCCTTTTTTGTCTGACTTCACCTAACATCCAAAGTACTGTACCCATCCTTCTGTCGGGTTCACTCTGAGCACAAAAGGGTCTTACCATCTCTCTTTTTTTCCCGGGGATGTCCTCAACATCGAATACGCCCCATCTCTCCTGTCTGCTGTCACCTGAGCACCCAAAGGTCTGCCTCCTCTTTGTCCTGACTGTCACCTGAACCCCAAAGGTACTGTCCCCTCCTCTCTCTTTCTGACTGTCACTTACCCCCAAGGTCTGTATCTCTCTCTCCTGTCTGACGCACCTGAACTCCCAGAAGACTTACCTCACTTTCTCTTTTCTTTACTGTCACTCTGAACATCCTAGGTCGTACATCTCTCTCTCTGTCCTGACGTCACTCTGAACACCAAAGGTACTGTGCCTCTCTCTCTCTTTCGACTGTCACCTGAACACCCAAAGTCTGACCTCCTCTCTTCTGACTATCACTCTGACACCCAAAGATTCGGGACCATCTCTCTCTCTCTCTCTGTTTTACTTCACCAAACTCCAGATTTATTCCCACTCTCTCTCTGTCTGACTGTCCTCTGAGCATCAAAAAGGTACTGTCCCATCTCTCTGTGTTTGCTGCTGTCCCCTCTGAACATACAAAAGGTCGACCTCTCTCTCTTTTCCCTGACTATAAATCTGCCCCCAGAAATTCTGTACCATCTCTCTTTCTGTCTGACTTCATCTAACTCCAAATTACTGTACCATTCTCTCTCTGTCTGAGACTGTCCACTCTGAGCATCAATAAGGTACTGTACCATCTCTCTGTGTTTTGTCTGACTGTCACTCTGAACATACAGAAGGTACTGTACCATCTCTCTCTGTCTGACTGTCACTCTGAGCACCCAGAAGGTACTGTACCATCTCTCTCTCTGTCTGACTGTCACTCTGAACATCCAGAAGGTACTGTACCCTCTCTCTCTCTCTGTCTGACTGTCACTATGAACATCCGAAGGTACTGTTCATCTCTCTCTCTGTCTGACTGTCACCTCTGAACATCCAGAAGGTACTGTGCCATCTCTCTCTCTGTCTGACTGTCACTCTGAACATCCAGAAGGTACTGTGCCATCTCTCTCTCTGTCTGACTGTCACTCTGAGCACCCAGAAGATTCTGTACCATCTCTCTCTCTCTCTCTGTCTGACTGTCACTCTGAACATCCAGAATGTACTGTACCATCTCTCTCTCTGTCCTGACTGTCACTCTGAGCATCAAGAAGGTACTGTACCATCTCTCTGTGTTTGTCTGACTGTCACTCTGAACATACAGAAGGTACTGTACCATCTCTCTCTGTGTCTGACTATCACTCTGAGCACCCAGAAGATTCTGTACCATCTCTCTCTCTCTCTGTCTGACTGTCACTCTGAACATCCAGAATGTACTGTACCACTCTCTCCTCTCTTCTGACTGTCACTCTGAGCATCAATAAGGTACTGTACCATCTCTCTGTGTTTGTCTGAATGTCACTCTGACATACAGAAGGTACTGTACCATCTCTCTCTGTCTACTATCACTCTGATCAACCCGAATATTCTGTACCATCTCTCCTCCTCTCTGTCTGACTGGCACTCTGAACATCCAAAATGTACTGTACCATCTCTCTCTCTGTCTGACTGTCACTCTGAGCATCAATAAGGTACTGTACCATCTCTCTGTGTTTGTCTGACTGTCACTCTGAACATACAGAAGGTACTGTACCATCTCTCTCTGTCTGACTGTCACTCTGAGCACCCAGAAGGTACTTTACCATCTCTCTCTCTGTCTGACTGTCACTCTGAACATCCAGAAGGTTCTGTACCCTCTCTCTCTCTCTGTCTGACTGTCACTATGAACATCCAGAAGGTACTGTACCATCTCTCTCTCTGTCTGACTGTCACTCTGAACATCCAGAAGGTACTGTACCCTCTCTTTCTCTGTCTGACTGTCACTCTGAACATCCAGAAGGTACTGTACCATCTCTCTCTCTGTCTGACTGTCACTCTGAACACCCAGAAGGTACTGTGCCATCTCTCTCTCTGTCTGACTGTCACTCTGAACATCCAGAAGGTACTGTACCATCTCTCTCTGTCTGACTATCACTCTGAGCACCCAGAAGATTCTGTACCCTCTCTCTCTCTGTCTGACTGTCACTCTGAGCATCAAGAAGGTACTGTACCCTCTCTCTCTCTGTCTGACTGTCACTATGAACATCCAGAAGGTACTGTACCATCTCTCTCTCTGTCTGACTGTCACTCTGAACATCCAGAAAGTACTGTACCATCTCTCTCTGTCTGACTATCACTCTGAGCACCCAGAAGATTCTGTACCATCTCTCTCTCTCTCTGTCTGACTGTCACTCTGAACATCCAGAATGTACTGTACCATCTCTCTCTCTGTCTGACTGTCACTCTGAGCATCAATAAGGTACTGTACCATCTCTCTGTGTTTGTCTGACTGTCACTTTGAACATCCAGAATGTACTGTACCATCTCTCTCTCTGTCTGACTGTCACTCTGAGCATCAAGAAGGTACTGTACCATCTCTCTGTATTTGTCTGACTGTCACTCTGAACATACAGAAGGTACTGTACCATCTCTCTCTGTCTGACTGTCACTCTGAGCACCCAGAAGGTACTGTACCATCTTTCTCTCTGTCTGACTGTCACTCTGAACATCCAGAAGGTACTGTACCCCTCTCCTCTCTCTGCTTCTGACTGGTCACTCTGACATCAGAAGGTACGGTACCATCTCTCTGTGGTTTGTCTGACTGTCACTTCTGAACATCCGAAAGTACTGTACCATCTCTCTCTCTGTCTGACTGTCACTCTGAACATACAGAAGGTACTGTACCATCTCTCTCTGTCTGACTGTCACTCTGAGCACCCAGATGGTACTGTACCATTCTGTCTGACTGTTACTATGAACAGCCAGAAGGTACTGTACCATCTCTCTCTCTGTCTGACTGTCACTCTGAACATCCAGAAGGTACTGTACCATCTCTCTCTATCTGTCTGACTGTCACTCCTCCTTCTTTCTCGCTTTCTCCATCTGTTTGTTCCTCTATATCTCCCTCCCAGGAGGCACTCATTCTGTCTCTTTCCATTTCCCTCCCTCCTCTCAATTTGTCTGGTTCCCTCTTTTTCTTTGTGCCAACAGATAATTTGTACCTCTGAGATTGATGTGCATTTCCAATGCTAAGAGTGTCCTCTATGTCTCTCATCCCTCTGAACTCTCTCTCTCTCTCTCTCTCTCTCTCTCTCTCTCTCTCCTCTCTCTCTCTCTCCTCCTCTCTCTCTCCTCCTCTCTCTCCTCTCTCTCTCCTCTCCTCTCTCTCTCTCTCCTCTCTCTCTCTCTCCTCAGGTTGTTATTTTGAGGGGGACCAGAAGATGCATGCTCCTGGGTCTACCTGGCATCCATTCGTCCCTCCGTTTGGCTACATCAAGTGTGCCCTCTGCACCTGCAAGGTAGGCCTCTAGGTTATTCCTTCACAGCTAGCATGATGTAAGTCGATAAGTGATGCTAACAATAATTAGAAACATGACTATTAATCTTTCTTCAGCTTCCTAGAATGTAATGTAAATTCCGCTAATTTCCCATTGTGGCCTTCCTCCTCCACTCCTGTAGGGGGCAACTGGTGAGGTGCACTGTGAGAAGGTGACGTGTCCAGCCCTGACCTGCAGTCGTCCGGTACGCCGCAGCCCCTCAGACTGCTGTAAGGAGTGTCTGGAGGAAGACAACCCCCCCCTGGAGCACACTGACATGATGCAGGCAGATGGGACGAGCCACTGCAAGTTTGGAAAGAACTTCTACCAGAACAGTGACAACTGGCACCCCCGCGTCCCCCTGATGGGAGAGATGAAGTGCATCACCTGCTGGTGTGACGTGAGTATTACATGGAGTCAGAGACCAGTCAGGAACAAGTCTCTTACAAAATACAGCCATTTATAGTGGGTTTGGACCTGTTGTAATTCAAGACAAAAAAGCTTCAGACTGTTGGGCCTAAACCCCAAAGAGCAAAAGAGAAAAAAGCACTGGAGAACTCCCTCTGTTTCAGTAAACCTTTAGAAAAACCCAGACTCAAGGTTTCTTCTGACTGAAGGAGTTTTTCCATGCCACTGTGATACATGTTTTTGCAGATAAAGTAGGGATGTTTCAGACTTGGTTGAGCTTCATAGCTGTAGGGATGGGGGGACTTGGGTGGCCCTTACCCCTTGGGGGAAAATGTCAGTGTCAGTGTGGGGAACTCTGGGATTTGGAGTTGAGAAACGTGGAGCATTTTCTGGTTTCACAGCACTGTGAGGTGCATTCCTAATGTACCTCCCTCTGTCTCTCTCTCCCTCCTTTCTCTCTCTTTCTTTCTCCCTCTCTCTCCAGCATGGTGTGACTAAGTGTCAGAGGAAGCAGTGTCCAGTGCTGACCTGTAGTAACATCACCCGCCGGGAGGGCATGTGCTGTCCTGAGTGCCAAGGTGAGACAAGCACACACACACACACACACACACACACACACTCACACACACATACACACAACATGCTCCCTAGCCAGAGAATCTGAGGACACATGCTTGAAATAGTGAGACATATTCTCAATCCTGATGACATGCTTTCAAACAGCGATGATTAATGTAGTAATCATAGATTAATTCATATTGGATTGTCTCTTTTGTTTAGATTCCAAAGAGGAAGAGGAGGAGCTGATGAAAGTTCCGGAAAAGAAGAACAGCTGGAGACACTGAGCTGAGACCCCCCCCCCCGCCCTCCTCTCTCTACCTACCCCCTCATGGGCAGACCTAGACCTGCACACTGGGTCAGCTAACACCCCCTAAAGCCAAGACCCCTATAACCCTCCAGCCCCGACCCACAACCCCCCTGTCCCACTCCCACCCGTTAGTCAGTCTATGGATTGTAACAAAGGAAGGAAAGACAGGCAGAGAAAAGGGAGAAAGAGGAGCACTGAGGTGTCATGGAAGGGACTGAGGCCGTACCTGAAAGAATGGAAAGAAAGGAACAAAGAGAGATATGAAGTGGACCAACCATAATCGCTGCAGCTGTGTCTTTTGACTGGTATCTCCTTTGAAATTTGACTTTTTTTGTTGTTGTTTTTTTGTTGCTTTGCTTCCTCTTGATGAATATTGCTCGCCCTTTCAAAAATCACATACAATTACCCTTCATATTCGAATACCGGTACACAAGGTGACACTGTTTGTTGTTTAGTTGTTAAAATTGATGTGTTGGTAGTCTTTCTGAAGTTCAGCCCTAAGTTGTGTTTGTGCATACTCACTTTTGAGTGTGTGTGTGTGTGTATGTTGACGTGTGGTAAAAATGCTTGCTAAACAGTGCAACAAACATACGAGGCAGTCAAGTTACTGGGTGGCTAGATGGAAACACACACACACACAAAACATCTCATAAACCAGCACCACACATATGTTCTCTTATCCCATCCAGTCAGCACCACTAGAACACTTCCCTTGGAAAAGCATAACACACCCAAGAATCTCTTCTAATTGCTTACTGAAGAGATTAAGATATACAGTAACTTTACATGAACATTTGTTTTAGATTTATTTGCAGCTCTGAGTCTGGTACCATTGACCTGTATTGCACCTCTTCATGTGGTTGTCCATGATGTTGTCTTGTTTCTCATTTCAGTAATATGTATAATTATTTTAAAATACTTTGTATTAGTGTTGTTATTTTTATGAATCTTGCTTGTATTTATTGAACGTGTGAAGGAAAAAATAAAAGTTGTTGGTAAGGAATTGTCTTTTGACAATTTAGTTGAAATCCATAACCTTTTCCATACCCGCCCTCTCTCTCTCTCTCTCTCTCTCGCTCTCTCTCTCTCTCTCTCTCTCCACATACATGTATAAACACTTACCTATGGAGATGACAGGCCAGTTTGACCTGACTTGCTCTCTCTGTCCTTCTCTCCCCCTTTTCTTGCTCTCTTCCCCTCTGATCTGTCTGTTCTCTTTCCTTCTCCCTCTCTCCTCTTCCCTCGTTCTGTCCAGCTGGATTTGAGGAATAGGGGAAATGTGACAAACTGACGTAGCTCCCCCACCTCTCTCTCTTCTCTCTCTCTCTCCCGCTCCACCCTTCATCAGATGGCACTCTCTCTTTATTTTCCTCTCCTTCGTTCCATAGACACACACCACATGTGTTCTATAGTAACCACAATGCACTCTCTGAAGGAACACTCTCTCACATACAGACACACACACACACACACACACACACACATTCACAATGACTCAGCCAAAGGACACAGACTGGAACATAAACACACATGCACAGATGTACACAAGTACACACTCTGCCCCTGAAGAAGGAACACACACACATTTTTCCATCATGAATCTTGATCTGGAGGCAGCTCTGCAGAGTGGTCCCTAGCTGGCACAGCCACAAATTCATAATATCTGTTTTTAAACCTAACCCTAACCTTAACCACACTGCAAATCCTCCTGCCTAAACTAACCTTAAATTAAGACCAAAAAGCAAATTTTTGTTTTCATGAATTTTTACAATATAGCCAATTTTGACTTTGCAGCTGGCCTATTTAAGGGGAAATTGCTCAGTTCTGCCTCCAGGACAAGACTCATGACAACAAACGTCCACCTGCCACATGCACACTGATTCAGCCAAAGGACACAGACTGAATGTCTACCGCTCCCCCTATGGGCAGGTAAATAGTACTGACATAAATCACTTCCTATGGTAGAGCCAACTGGTTGTGAGCATGCCAAGTCGCACCTGTCGACCTTCCCAGAGCAGAGAGCAGAGCAGAGAAAGAGGCCATGTTGTAAAGCCGCCAGCCGACCAACCGGCCAGCAGCCACACAGCTGGAGGCTAGGGTCAAAGGTCAACAATGCTGAGCTATGGCTCTGTTCCGACAGCCTGGATCAGAGGCATGTCTACTGACTGACTGGGGGAGGGAGGGATGTGGGTCTGCATCTGCATGCCATGGTGTGGGTGCATTTTCATGGCACATTCCTGTCTCTCTGTGGGTAAGTGTTCACTCCTTCTCTCTTACCCCCCTCTCTCCTTTTTCTCCCTCCATCTCCTCCTGTCTCTCCCTCTCTCTCTCTCTACGTGGCTTTGTGGGCCACAGAGCCTCTTCAATCTCTGGGCCTGAGCTGAGCCACGGGCAGGCAGCGCAGGGCTCAGCTCCACACTAACCCCTGATAGCAGACAGCACACCAAGGGACACAGCCCAAGTTACAGGGGAACAACAGACATTTCCTCAGTTAAAACAATATACTGAGCAAATGTCAAATTGGCTTTTTACCAAATTACAGTATGACAGACCACGTATTCACCCTGCACACCCTAATTGACAAACAAACAAAACAAAGGCAAAGTCTTCTCATGCTTTGTTGATTTCAAAAAAGCTTTTGACTCACTTTGGCATGAGGGTCTGCTATACAAATTTATGGAAAGTGGTGTTGGGGGAAAAACATTCAACATTATAAAATCCATGTACACAAACAACAAGTTTGCGGTTAAAATTGGCAAAAAACACACATTTCTTTCCATAGGGCTGTGGGGTGAGACAGGGATGCAGCTTAAGCCCTACCCTCTTCAACATACAGTATATATCAACGAATTGGCGAGGGCACTAGAACAGTCTGGAGCACCCGGCCTCACCCTACTAGAATCTGAAGTCAAATGTCTACTGTTTGCTGATGATCTGGTGCTTTTATCCCCAACCAAGGAGGGCCTACAGCTGCACCTAGATCTTCTGCACAGATTCTGTCAGACCTGGGCCCTGACAGTAAATCTCAGTAAGACAAAAATAATGGTGTTCCAAAAAAGGTCCAGTTGCCAGGACCACAAATACAAATTCCATCTAGACACCATTGCCATAGAACACACACAAAACGATACATACCTCGGCCTAAACATCAGCGCCACATTTAACTTCCACAAAGCTGTGAACGATCTGAGAGACAAGGCCTTCTATGCCATCAAAAGGAACTTAAAATTCGACATACCATTTAGGATCTGGCTACAAATAATTGAATCAGTTATTGAACCCATTGCCCTTTATGGTTGTGAGGTCTGGGGGAAGTTCTCACCAACCAAGAATTCACAAAATGGGAAAAACACCAAATTGAGACTCTGCATGCAGAATTCTGCAAAAATATCCTCAGTGTACAATGTTAAACACCAAATAATGCATGCAGAGCAGAATTAGGCCGATACCCGCTAATAATCAAAATCCAGAAAATAGCTATTAAATTCTACAACCACTTAAAAGGAAGCTATTCCCAAACCGTCCATAACAAAGCCATCACCTACGGAGAGATTAACCTGGAGAAGAGTCCCCTAAGTAAGCTGGTCATGGGGCTCTGTGGGGTCTGTTTGTGTTTGTGAGCAGATCCCCATGACCAGCTTGCTTAGGGGACTCTTCTCCAGGTGCATCTCTCTGTAGGTGAGCAAGCTCATCCTGGGCCTCTGTTCACAAACAGACCCCACAGAGCCCCAGGACAGCAACACAATTAGACCCAACCAAATCATGAGAAAACAAAAAGATACTTAATTGACACATTGGAAAGAATTTACAAAAAAACGAGCAAACTAGAATGCTATTTGGCCCTAAACAGAGAGTACACAGTGGCAGAATACTTGACCACTGTGACCGACCCAAAATTAAGGAAAGCTTTGACTATGTACAGACAGTGAGCATGGCCTTGCTATTGAGAAAGGCCGCCGTAGGCAGACCTGGCTCTCAAGAGAAAACAGGCCTCCTATAGCTCAGTTGGTAGAGCACGGCACTTGCAGCGCCAGGGTTGAGGGTTCGATTCCCACGGGGGGCCCGTATGAAAAATGTATGCACTCACTAACTGTAAGTCGTGCTGGATAAGAGCGTCTGCTAAATGACTAAAATGTAAATGTATGTGCCCACAAAACAAGGTGGAAACTGAGCTGTACTTCCTAACCTCCTACCAAATGTATGACCATATTAGAGACACATATTTCCCTCAGATTACATAGACCACAAAGAATTCCAATTTTAATAAACTCCATTATCTATTGGGTGAAATACCACAGTGTGCAATCACAGCAGCAAGATTTTGACCTGTTGCCACAAGAAAAGAGCAACCAGTGAAGAACAAACACCATTGTAAATACAACCCATAATTATTTATTTTCCGTTTTGTAGTTTAACTATTTGCACATCGTTACAACACTGTATATAGACATAATATGACATTTTAAATGTCTTTATTATTTTGGAACTTTTGTGTAATGTTTACTGTTCATTTTTAATTGTTTATTTCACTTTTGTTTATTATCTATTTCACTTGCTTTGGAAATGTAAACATATGTTTCCCATGCCAATACATTGAGAGAGAGGGAGAATGGGGAGGAAGAGATAGAGGAGAGAACAGAAGGAGGAGGAGGAGAGACCTGTTGTTGTTGTTGTCGTCGTCCTAGTGTGACCCAGGGCTGTTTAACTTTCTCGAGGAGTAGTTACAGGAAGGGGGGAGACGGGTAAACAAGGCTCCCATATCATCAATCCCAGAGAGAAAGAGAGAGGGGGAGGGAGGGAGAGTTAAAGAATCAAAGAGGAAGAGGGGTAGAGGGGTAGAGAGAAACAGACAGTAAGAAAAACATGGACAGAGAGAGGGTTTTCCACTGGGTTAATTAGTAACACTGTACCCCCTCTCTTATAATGACAACAGCAGGACAGCGATAACAGCTGTTCAAATCACCAGGAATTAGCGAC